CTAGAGGATAACAAGTGAAAGATCAAAGCACCAACAGCAATCTGTAATTAACTCAACTAAAACAAAGGTATCTTGTTCCTCCTCCCTCAAAAAAGTGTGAAACAAAACAATCTAACTAGAAATTAAGAAAAAATAAGGTTAAAATAGAATATTTTGTTAACTAGAGAAAACATTAGAAGTTAATTTATTAAATATTCCTATTTATTGTGAAAACATCACTTGAAACTTTCATGCTTTTTAAAAAACATTCATAGAAGCTTTATGGGAAGCAGAAATACAAATATCTTAACTTATCAATTTAGATTGATATATTTTTTATATATACTAGCCTCCTCCATCTTTTACACACACACCTTCCAGACCTGAAACAGCATTTTAATTTCACTTCTAAATGGTTATAGTAAATAGCATAGTTTCAGTCATGCCAACTTACAGTTACACTCCTAGTTTTATGCTTTAGTAATTTAATGTGCCATTTGAAATCAAATGCTTGTATTTTATCTATTCCACTTCAGAGAGACAATGCACTAAGACATTGATACTGACAAAATAACTTGTAATGATCACATAGTAGACATAAAAATGGACACATCAGAAACACATTTCACAACTGTGTATTTTAGTGGGAAATGAAATAACTATTTCTGTAATGCATTGTAGGATTATTTTTTCCCTTCTCAATTCTGTTATTTTCTTGTGTAAATACAACACAGATGTAACATGCCTTACCAGAGACGGTCAGCATTAACAGCATCATCGTACAACAAAATATACAGGCAAAACCCACCAACCACCAAGGCGTGGAATGTGGACACTGTCCTGAAAAAGAGACCACAGTCACAAGGAGGTACTGCCATTCCCAACTTTACATACTTAAGACAGGATGTTTTGAAAGACATTCTCAACTGCATCTAGATACCTCCATGGAAGACAATCATGTCTTCTTTACACTACGTCAAACCACTTGCACAAGTGGGAAAAAGAACCAAAAAGGAGGAATCTATTAGATCAGGGCAGGGGTGTTAAACAGAAAGTAGAGTCTTAGAGTAAAGAAGAACTAGGTTTCTTCCAATTATCCCATATCTTAACAAAGCCTTAAAGACAACACGACAACCAGTTCTCTCACAAATACTTACTGTGTTGTCACACTCGCTGGAAAATATACATGCATTTAATATCCAGACTGGCCCATGAGTCCTGCAGCAGCAGGTTTCTCCTTTCAGTAACCAAATTAATAGATAACTCAATAAATCCATGAAGTTCCAGTTTTGGAAAGAAAGCATTAAATGAAAAATGCTATCAAGGAAACCTTCGGAAAGCATTTCTAGTGTATTTGAAGTGATTCTGCTTCTCAAAGAAAGGTGTAACAGCTTACAGGTTCACATGAACAATCAGCTTTGCTTTATTTTATACTCCTCTTGTCCTGAATAAAGTCACAGTACTCCGAGTTGCTTTGTCCATGCTTGGGTACCACAAGCTTTTTATTCCAAAGACACCAGCCTCAAATATAAAGTCTGCATGCAAAAAGTAGATAAACTGAATATTAACAAGCACTTACAGAGAATCACTCATTTACAGAGGCCCTGGCAGGGTTTCTGCCAGCACACAGGCCAGGACCATTCCAGCCCTTTTGTGTCCACGTGTATTCTTGGAAGGTAGAACAATGCAATGGGCAAAGGTCCAAAATGTGTAACCTTGTTCCTTTAGTTTAACACTATTATAAACTGAAAAAAAAAATAATTATGTGCCAAAATAGCCCTCCTGAATAATTGATAATATTTGAAAGATGAGAACTCTTAAGTTAGATGCTGTGTGATCAGAAACACTTTTACACCACATTCACAGTGTTAACAATATGCACACAAACATATAGTTGCTTCTAGTCAATTGTCTTTCTTTCTACATAGTGAATACATGAACATTTGAAATTTGTTAATATTTTTCATGTGCACAAATCACTCTTGGGAGTCTAAATTCTATGATACAAGATTTGAAGAACACATCTTGCTTCCTGTGGAAGATTTTGCAAAGAAAGAGTAAATTAAATAACTTTTCTGTTTCCAGAAATGTTATTATCTTCTATTGGCATTAGAAGATTTTGTGACTTCTCATAAAAGAAGTCTCTATTTACAATTTGTTTGAAGAGTGTCATCATGCTATTTTAAAAAAAATTTTAAAAACTGAGATTAATGTAATATGAATAGTAAAATGTAACAAGCTGGATGAGAACATTTACTAACCATTATGCTTCTTTTTTCCCTTTTTTTTTTTTAGTAATGAAATAAAATGTAGTTATCAGTATTTTAATTATACTTCATGGTTTAATTAAAACATCTACTCTTGCAACAAAGAATTAGCAGAGTGCTAGGAATTTTGCTTCCTAGTTTGAGAAATATCTGGGTTTTTTTTTAACTCTAGGAGCAGATAATGGTGAAAGAATTAAAACTTGTCCTAGAACATTAGTTTACAGTTGCAATTTGTCTCAGGGCTGGCTGTTTATCCAAACCTTAGTGTGTAGACTACAAGCTATACACAAGCACAGGACTTGAAGGGGGAGAAAAAACACAGAAAGGGGAAAAAAACAAACAATACACAACACCAAGCAGATTTCCTCCTTAACTCTGAACTTCGAAGTTTCTCCATAGAAAAGGAGACAGAAGAAGGGAAATAGTGCTTCACTCCATTTTAATATGGAATCTAGGTCAAGCTATCAAGCTCAGTCCATTTCCTTGAAATTACTGACAAAGCTTGCATTCTTTAACTCCTCAATAAACTGCAAAGAAAGAAGTTCCCCTGGTAAGTTGCATACGTGTTCCTTTATTATTGAATCTATGTATTTTCACAACAGCGTAACAGCAGTACAAACATGTATTGTAGAAGAAATGACAGGAATTTATGCATTACAAATTAAAGTGTTATACCACGTCTGTATCAAAGTATAGTTTTTAACTCAATTTGAGTGTCTGCATACTCAAAATTCAATAAACAATTACTCTATTGGTTCTCTAATTCTTGGAAGGTCAGAATGAACAAATTGACAGTATGGAAGACACAGTCCACAGCTGCAGCTCAAATGCTTGATTACAAAACCCTCCAAACTGTAACAATATATTTTCAATGCTACAGCTCATTTCAGGCAGATGCCCTCTTCCAGACCCAGCTGAGCTGATAAAAATGCATAACCACCCTCTGTGCCAGTTTCTTTCAGGACTACCAACAGAACCATTTGTATGAGCACTCCCCACAGCAGTTCAATATAGGACAAAATAACAAACATTACTTTTAAATAATTTAAATTAATCCAGCTCATTTTACTGGGACATAGTAACTTTCTCTGCCTGCACAGCTGTCTGCAGAGTACATACATATCCATCTACATTCTCTGAACCTAGAAGATACTCCTTAGGGTGTCTCTCCATTTTGGTGAAACACTAGAGTGATGAGGCAGTTTGACAAAACACTGTGTTTGGTCAGAATTAAGTCAATCGTTTGTAGAAACACAAGCACAGTGAGCCTTTCTCTGACTTCATGCCCTCTTCAGGTATAACATCAACAAGCTGTGGATGAACAATGCTTTGTGTTTCATGCTTTCTAACTCCAGAACTGAATGTAGCACTGGACCATGACTCATCTGCATGTTAACATCTACCAACAATGAGAAAAAAAATGTGGAAATAAGTAAAAAAAGGACACGGCCTGGCATGCTGTATCAACTCAAGTAGTTAAATACCTTACTACAAAGTAGCCCAGAGATTACAGAGCAGCTTATTTCCAGCACACTTGTGATGTGTGCAACAATTTGTCCATTATTATGCAAAGCACTAGAATTTAACATAGTGCTACCAGGCATAGGATATAGTCTCAGAAAGCTTATTATGCAATTCAAGGGTCACTTGATGTGGCTTAGAGACAAAAATTCAGCTCCAACACTGTATCAGTTTAGTTTCCCTGTCTGTCTCTATTGTCAATGGTAACAAAGAGAAATCTAAGCTGTGCTGACACCATGAACTGGCAAATAGGTCATTAGTCAAAGACTGAACTGAAATTAAGATGGTGCCTTTAAGAACACTGGAGGTAGACATTTGCCAAATGGAAAGGCAAGACTGTTTGAGCTGCTAATGCTGCCTAGAACAATGGAAACAACTTTAAAAGTATCCACCTGATATTGCCTTTAAACAGCACTGAGAAGGAATTGATGACTACTGCATTTTGAGTGCATTAACAGCCACACAGTACACATTTTTGAGCTTCAGATACGAGAAATACCTGGAAAATATTTTAAGGTTGGAATAGGCCACTCAAGCATAAAGTTATACTGTATCAATTAATTTCAGCCAGAGAAGCTTGTGCACTATATATACCATTTCAAAGTAGTATATCACAAATAAAACCTCAGCGATCATCCCATTTGCAATTACTACTCTATACTTCCTTTATGGCTTTAAAAGATAGGAAGGCACCCAGGAAAGACTCACAGGTTTGAACAAGTTTCTAACATAACTCTGAGGAGACAAGTGTAATGCACATGGCTCCATCCCAGTCACTGAACTGCAGAAACACAAAGGATGTGAGGAAGGTTTCTAGACTAAGTTTCCACAACTGCCTCCTGAATGTATACCCTGACTCTGTCTTAGCTTCCCCCTCCTCTTTGTGCAGTCTTTTTCCCCAGCTACACACAGATGCACCTGACATACCCAGCCTCACTCCAATACTATATCTAAGATTCACCCTATTTCTTGGAAAACTGTAATTTATCTAATATGGGGTGCAGTGTAGAGAACAGAGAGCAATTTGCCTTGCATTCAAAAGCATGACTAGAGATTTAGATCACATAATATAATGCAATACTTTTGATTTTAATGTATGTTTTGGGGAAAGAAATTTTGTACCTCTTCTCTTTAATAGAAGTGTCACAGAGAAGCCATCTAAAATTAATCCCCTTGACCTTATTACCTCTCACCAGTCACCGTTTACTTTTTCTACTAACTTTCACCTGGGCATCACTGTCTAATGAAGTGTTTAACTTGGAAGTATTTGTAATGCTGTGTGTTCAAGAAGAGCCCTCAGCATTCCACATTCAGAATCTAAGAGGTTTGAACCCTCCCTCTAATCTTTACAGATGATTAACTAATAACATATTCTTCAGTTTTACATATGTACACTCAGTTGGTTCAAATGTTGACAATTTCAGGTAGTTCACTAGCTGTAGTTTGTTTTGAACACTGTACCTTGAATTCCACTCGATTTTCCTTTTTTGGCTGAGCTTGTTAAAACCAGGTGATACTCGTGTTGACACCCAAGAACTTAAAACATGGAACAGGAGCTGAAATATGGTGAAACTGGCAAGAGCAATGCCAATAGTCAAGTTGCTGAAGGAAGCCATTGCTATTCAGCCTGTGAAAAGAAGTAAAAGGCAATTTCAGTCTGTTCAGCTAACTATTCTTAGCAGCCAGAGAAAGCATTTTTGAGGACTAGCTTGTAAACAGAAACATTATTCACGAAAAGTTTCATGCTGTTCAACACTTCTACTTAAGGCTTATCAGTATAGAAGTATCCCCAAAAAGTTATATGAAAAAGTTTGGTTTGGGTTATTTTTTTTAATGTTTGCATCCTAAACGTTTTCATTGCCTGACATTGCATGTATCTCTTATCTGCACAGAAAGGGTAAGGACACTGTCCAGTGCAAACACCAGTTCAGAAGCTTCGCCTGCTGTCCCAAGAAGTTCTGAAGTTAAGACTCGTCCCATTCTCACCAGATTCACTGCTGCCATGGGATTTTTAAAAGCAACAATGAAATCAGATGAGTGTAGAAGACAGATTTTTCAGGTCAGCCTCAGGACATAACAGTCTCACTGCAGCTTTATGTTTGTAGACTTTACAAAGACAGTAGTTCTCCATTTGGACTTTGTTCACAGTTGAGGGCTTCTCTTTGTGCTACCATGTAGGCTACTCTTTCTTCTTCAAGTGAAAGTCTAAATTTTGCACAACTTCAGAGCACACTGAAAAGCTTCCTGCCATCAGAGCTTTAGCATTTTTCCAGTGCTGGATTTTTACCTATTTCATGAGGCCTAAATAAATAGCTAAACAATCCCAAGCACAAATGTCACTTTCTAAATGCTTTAGTCACTTCTTGTACATCACAAGACAGAAGGGTATTTTTCCTGAAGCCACAAACTTCTGCCATACATCTCTGGTTTGTGAGGTATTTCACATTCCAACACTGGCAAAGGTTACAAAATCATAAAAAGTCTATTCGTAATAAGTTGAACATAAAAGGGAAAAAAGCCAAGTGGCTTAATATAAAATATTTAAATAATTATTTTAATAGCCATTTAAATCACTACTGTCACTTGTTTTGGTTTTACCGAAGAAAATACCTAAAAATAAAATGAAGACTTAATGGTCAGCAAAAACTCATAAAATTATATAAACACCTATGCCCACCTTTGGTTCACACACATTATAGAATAAGGGGATATGCCTCAGATTTTTTTTAAATTGTAACTGCATTGCAGACAGAAAAAAACCCTTGAAATTCAGATTTTAAAAAAAAATAGAAAGAAAAGTCCACCAGTTAAAATAACAACTATTTTAAAAATTAAGTACAATATTCTCAGCTGGTGGTGTAAATGGTGAGTATATTGAAGCATGGTCTGCATTTAAACGTAGAACTTTAACAAAAGCTGTATTATATGTATACTGGAAAAAAAAATACTTTTGTCTTCAAAAATTTAGAAGCAGAAGGTTCAGTGATCTCAAAGTTTTATCCCCTCTTCCTCTTTCTTCTTCTCAGAATTGAAGAGTAACAAAGGAAAGGGAATCATCTGAAAGATACAGCCATATGAGCAGAACTCCAGACAAATGAGGGTAGATTTGCTGAGTGAGACTGGCAGCATATGGATTTCAGGTGTTTACTTCAGAACCTGTCTAGGAACTCTGCAGCTGTTAGATCATATTTGGTGTACACTTCAGGCTGATCTTCCTGCTCAGTTTAACCCAAAAGGAGTCCAGTTTGCATGCCCTGGGACAGCTGTGCAACACAAACCAAAGGGCAGTAAGTTGGGATAATCAAGAAATTCAGTCTGTAAGTGCATTTTTACTCCAAACTAAAATGTTAATGTACACACACTGCATTGCAACAAAATTAATTTGTTTATCGGATGACATGTTCTGTTTCAGCCGCACACTAGTCTTGTACACTTTTTAATGTTAATCTATTAAAACTTGCAGTTTCAAATACCATCCTGAATATTCAGTATTCTCTCAAGTACTTTTTCCACTGTTCTCCACATACTTCTCCATTTGCCTCCACTGACCAAGAAGATAGAATATACAAATCAAATTTTAATATCTTAAAGTACTAGAGACAATGGATGTTTCGCCTGATTTTCTAAAACGTTTCTGTTCAAAGGAATACAGCTATTCAATTTTATAAATTCCAGTTGAAATACACTGCTAAGTACTGTACAGTGCCCATTTCCAGATTCAACTCCCAGGGCCAAAACTTTGTTCTTGCATCATCTCATTTGTAGTAAGCACGTCCTTGCTTGGACCACATAAGGAAAAAAAAATCATTTGGTTTAATTCCTAAAGTGTGTGAAGGAAGCCAAAATGCATATTGAATATCATTCTCTTCAGAAAAATAGCAAAACCACTTAACATCAATCACACCTACTTCATCCTTTTGACTAAAATATGGCAATTCTCATGATTCTACCAAGTTTATTAATCCGCAATGACTACACTAGTATTTCTGAGTCTCAAAGACTCTTGGACAAAAGAAATTCATGATTGGTTTTGTTTCCTTAGAACCAGAGATAAGCAATATTTCAGTGCACGACAGGTGTTCATTTTAGCATAGGAGGCTGCAAGAAGTGCATTAGAAGAAGTAATCTTTCTCCTAAGGAGCCCATACACAGAATTTCTCTTAAGAAAAAGAAACTGTGTGGAAAGTGACTTTCAGAAGTATTAAATACCTATACCTCTTAGCAGTTACAGCCGAAAGTACAGAAGCATGATGCCAGAGAGAGAGAAAGCTATTACGGTAGCAGGGAAGAAAGTAGTCACCCAGCCTCTCTGGTTGGTCTCTCAGATACTCGTACGAGTTTTGCAAGACTCATTTCAGAAGGTCATTTCATATAAGCTTATCAAGATGCTGTAAGTACTAAATCCAGGAATAATGTCCAGTTTCACTTAGGCAAATTAAGAGTGCTGTATTTTAATTTAATTCAAGGACTGGGTGTAAACGAAGTGTTAAATGGAAGAATGGTTCAACTATGTCTTCTCATATCTCTAAGTTGTTTTCAACAATATCCTGTTTAACATTAACTGCTGTTTACCAGATTTTTTTTTAAACTTTTAAAAAAAATCATTTATATTGTTGAACCAAAGCTTATAACTTAGATGAAAAGTAATAAGCTTCTGAATACATATGATTTCTTTGCCCTTAGGACAATAGACAAAGTAATTAAGTCAAAGGCAGCTTCAATTACACTGTGTTTTTCTGCTCCAGTATCTTCTTATGGCTGTCCAGCAAAGTCTAATCAAGATACAGAATTCATGGATTATATATGAGCAGACACTTTATCCCCCAAACTGCATAGTCATTGATTACCATTCAGTCAGCTGATACAGTTTTTGAGCCAGTGAAAGGCTGGGTGAGGAGGGAGGTTCAGTGCAACTACTTTCTAACTCAGGAAAAAAACTACTATATCCAGGTTCACTCTTCACCACTAGCTTTTCAGCCGTGGTCTTTTCCTGGCTTACCCAGAATTACTGTCTTGATAGTTCAGTTAAGACAGTAATCACAAATTATCAAAACTTCACTCCTGAAGCTTTTCAATGTAGGAAAAGAAATATCAGCAAACAGACACCTGAAACTAACAATTTTAAGTACGTTGTTGGTTACACATGTCTAGTGCAGCATAACATTACTCTATTGACCTCACTAATTTTGAAAAAGCTAATAACACAGCTTTTCAATCATACTCAGTAAGAGCTGAAAATAGGCTCTTTTCATCTGCTATTAACATGTGGTGGTTTTCCTGCAATTCTGCTTCCACTTGGAATTTAGAGGAAAAAATCAATAATATGAAGACTCAATATTCATTCACCCCCAATATGAAACCTGTGAACTTCTGATAGAACCACATTAGCACTTACCTGAAAGAGAATAAAGGATCAGAAGTCACCAAGTTTTGCACCAGCAATGCCATTTAGCATTTATGTTCTCATTTCGCTTTTTCTGCACCAATTTTTCACATCATAAAATTAAGAAATGCAACTGTATAGCCACAAGACATAGTAAGGAAGTGCAGAGGAACACAAAAGGCCTGCAGCCCTTACTTCTTTAAGGCTGGATTTCAAGATGAGTTGGATCAATTTCCAAACAAGATTATACCCTAAAGCCGCTGGTGATACCAGGACATCCCATTCAATCCTACGCTCTCCTGATCTGCTTAAAACTGAAAGCCAAATCCAATCATTGTAAAACTTACCACACTCATTTGTAGAGCGCAATGTGGAGCTACTGACTGTTTGCACATTTTATATTAAGCCTAGCAATAAAACATCTGTAGTGCTTGAGTTCTGCTGTACTGTTGGTTCTGAGCGGTAGTTTCTATTGCTCCAATTAGGCTAAATGCGCTGCGTTGGATCTTACTGGCTCAATAAGCAGCATTAAGGAGACAGGCAAATTTCAAGCTGCTCACAGCTTAAGCCATCCCCTTTCTGTGTGAGGCTTTTCGCGCCCCGAACTCCACTTCGCTTTGGCTCTTTAAACACCCAAGCACGGAGCAGACTAGGGACGCTTTCCTAAGGACGGGGTAAAAGGGGATAAACTGTGCGCTGCAGTATCATTTACCTGCACCACCGATTTCCTCAGACCCGCAAGAAGTTTGCAGTCGGAAAGCAACAGGGAAAGGAAAAGCCCCCAAACTCAGAGGGGGTACCGAGCCGCAGGGGAGCGGAGGGACCCGGACGGGCGAACTCCCGGGCAGCGCCGCGTTAGTGAGGAGCCCGCGGGGGCTCCCCCGAGCCCGGCATTACCTGG